AAAGCCAAAATTTTATGTAAGCAATTCCCTTTCTATTCCTCACATCCATGAATAAGCAGGAGCTATATTGCAGATTCCAAAGTGGAGTACCGAATAAAGAGGAAAAGACACCATAAACATAAGGGAAAACAAAAGTTGAAACTATTTTTATATTTTATCCGTCATGGCAGCAAGATTTCCATGGATAATGACCATGATAGGCCCCAGAAATGTAATCTTGTTCATAAATGGGTAGATTGATTTCTGGTAGCTGCTATATTTTTTCAAAAAAGCCAGCCCTCTTTTGGTGAAAGAAGAAGCTACTAAGCTTGTGCTGTTATCCCTGCTAGGGATGACCAATTCTCCAAGTTTCTTGATAAATATTCTAAATCATTTAAAATAGTGCTCTACTAGAAACCACCAAATAATTCTTGGACATTTCTAAAGTAACTAAAATAAAGTCAAAACTGCTGAAATGTATTATTCACTTTCTTTAACATCCTTAGGACTATGGAGATTATAGGAAACAGGTATCCTGAAAGTTTACAAAGATACAGAAGGTAACCAACTGCTTCTTTGTACTCTTACAGTAAGTGTTGCAGTGAACTGGTGTGCTCTTTTGTCCCCAGAGCAAATGAGTCAGTGGTATGAGGAGTACTCCAAATTTTTGTTCAGTGTCCAGACTTTGCTCCGTGGAGAAAGAGAGCTCAGCCTGCCGAACTTCCTACTCTATTAATTTCTCCTTGCCACCCACTCTGTAGACCGTAAGCACAGGAAAGTACTTCTCTGACCAGCATAGAAGGACCACTCCTCCATGAAGCAACAATCAATTTCAGCTTCCTCCCATACTTGTTCAGATATCTTTGCAGCATCATTTGAAAGTGTTATCATCTGCATGGCTGATATATCCCCTAACTCAGTGTTCAGGGGGGTATCGATCAGCGTTCACGTCAAACTCCTCATCAGTACCAAGCCCAAGCTGGGGAAGCTGATGATCCAACCAGCGGATTAAATTCGGTGATTAATCCTGGTCACATGCCACCTGAGGCATATTTCGCATAGGCTAAGTCTCAGACTGCCTGCCATGCAACTCTTAGTCAATAACCTTGACTTAGTCAATTACCCTGTGCTACCTTATCTCCTATATGTAGTCATATGTGTGCCTTTAAGTCACTACCATATGAATTATTTTAACTGATATGAAAACTCAAAGCTTATCTGCTGGATCTCTGACCAGCTACAGTGAGAGTAAGAAATGCTGTTGAGTCCTGAAATATAGCTGTACCCATGACACTACAATAGTGTTAGGATGCCATCTGGACTTAAAAAAATAATTACCCATCACCTCCTAGCCCAGGGACTAAGCCTAATAACCAGAGTGAAAGATACTGGTGTTGCCTATGCCTCCCAAGATTATGCCCCTCAATTTGAATGAATACCACAGCTGTGGACTGTTTATTGTGTATTGTAATGGTAACACATTGTCAATCAACTTTCCACTTCGTTAAAATTACAGTAAATCCATTAAGTCCCTCTTGCTTTTGCTAAACCTTTTTATTCTATCCTCAGTGTATTCCACAAGGCCAACTCACTTTTGCTTTCCTAACATAGAACTTGGTGTATTTATCCTATGCTGTCTTTAATACCTATATTTTTTTTCTACTCTCACCTTCTACACACTTTTCTCTCTCTCTGTTTCCCCACACTTAGTTCTCTAACTCATCACCTGTATTTTCTGTTTTCCTCTTCCATATCTCCCTCCAAAATGTCTTCTCTCCTATACTATTCTTCTCAGTTCTAATTAATCTTCTTTTCTCATATACATGGGGCTTGGAAATTTACCTGACACTTCATATCTAAAGGATTAAACCTACTAACCAAAGACTGATAAAAAGATAGAGGCAGGGGCACTATCAAGGCAATACTCAGATGAGAAGAAAACCACCTCCCCGGCTGCTGGGATTCCTACCAGGGTGCTCTCCCAAGGCTCTGGTTGGGGGTTTCATCTTCTGTGTCAGCCCCCAGCTATTACGGGCTTGATCAATTTTAAGCCCTTCCCTTCACTCCCTTCCCCCCACCGCCCCCTCCACCCCCGCAGTTTGCTGGAATGGAGAAGGCCCAGTCTTTATCTGTTTCCTCCATCTTGTGTGACAGCCTCTTGTTGTGTTCCCTCAGCTTTCTGGCCGTGAGGGCTGCATTTCTATTTACTCAGCTCCTCCCACAGCCTCTGTGTTTGGGTCCTCCCCTCCTCTACTGTTCCTCAGAGCTTTCTCAAATACAGTAAAACTTATCTGATCCTTGCATGCTGCCCCACAGGGTGCTGAATAGCAAGACCAAAAATTGACGACTCTGTTCAGTTTTCACTTAAACTAGAATTTTGACATCTGTAAGGGGCAGCAGAGACTGAGGTTAAGGTAGAGAGGCCAGCATGAATTTATGCTCAATTAACATTTAAAATATTACTTTCACAAGAACAAGGCCTTTTTATTATTTTAAAAGGAAAAATCTAGATTCTGCAGAAGCTGTTGGAAGTCATCCATGCTAGTTTCCTACTCACCACAAATGAGTGGAATTTTCAAGCCTTGGATACTATTATCCTCAGTAGATTCATTTAATATGTTGATGTGAAAGATACTAAGCTCCATAGAATACATATCTCCTTCTAAAACATTGTAAATTTCCCCTATAAAGGAAACATTTTCTGCATGTTTCATTTAAGATGAGACCTCTCTTTTGTTGGAAGAGTTAATAAAGTATCAAGGCCAAAACAACAAACAGAACAACCAAACAGCCTAGAGTGGAAACATGGTATCTGAAGCAATCACTATCACAAGTTTCAGTTGGGACTTTTAATCTGAAAAGCAGTACTATCATTTTCTGGGAGTTGGAAGTACTTAAATCAGACACCATCTTGGCCCTCAAATTACTGAAGACCCAGTTCAGTAAAAGTAACATCCAGGAAAATGGTGTGATCTCTAATTTATATAGTTTTTAATAGAAACAAGCCTTGACTGGATGCACCATATTAACTGTTTTTATGAGAATTTTATAGGCTTTATGGTGCCTAATTTCAATGTGCTTTCTTAGGGCTGAGTTGGAATATCGTTATAATGTGTTGACAGGAGAAATGTCAGTTTTTCATAATATACAATCCACCTGAGCTGGATCACCATATCAGATTGAGGAAATTCCCAAACAATGTTCTTTTTTATCATATATTTTGTTCCACAGATGTCAACATGGAGGCCTCATGCCTAAAAATGCATGATTGTCTAATCAACTTTTCTAGTATAGCCAATCAGTGCATTCAGCACACCTGATATGATCATATGACTATCTGTGTATTATTTTTCCTGGGGCACAACCTGAATGATTCCAAATACTTCAAAGGAGCTGGATTTGAGAGGAGCTAGATTGGTGTAAAAATTCTGTCCTAATTGGATGTGCCCATCCTCGTTAAAAAGTATACTAATATATCAAAACATAATGCAATCTATTCTAATATTTTCTATCAAGCAGTTTTCTTTAAAGGTTTTTTATCTAAATATCCAATGTTTACCAACTTTTTAAGTAAAACCAAATGTGTATGTGCTATGTTCTTTTTATGCTAATAGCTATTACTATCACAGGTAAGAGGACTATAAATTTAAAACTAAATTAATAAAGAAAGATGACAAACTAGAAGCATAAAGCAATAGGTGTGTATCTTTAAATTCCTCTGTCCTTACATTGGCTATAAATATTTAATTAAAATATTTTGCTCATTGCACGGTTTTGGTGTTTTTCTTGAAAAACAGAAAGAAAAAATGTTACATTTTCAACAGAATTCTCAACTCTTAGATCAAAACCTATTAAAAAGTTAGCTCCTTGATTGAAATAAAATAAACTTTTTAGTCTGTGCTAAAAGAAGGGATGTACCAATGTCACATTGTCAGAATCCTCCTTTTTATTTTTATTTCACAAAGTGCAGCACTTCAGCAGTAAACTGGACAACACAGAACAAAATTAATTGCAATTGATATACTACAAATGTTTTCCACAAGCCTATTTAACTGCTCTTGGTTTACTTACATCCAACATTTTGGCCACTACATCACTTTACATTACCAAAAAATAAAAAAATGAAGAAAAACCATTCAATTAAAAAAAAAAAAGTATGGCCCACTGCAAAAAAATTACAGATGTAATTAGCAAAGCAGTAATAACCAAACAGAGATTAACAAGACAGGTGTTAATTTGGTGATGAGCAATAATAATACATTAAACTTAATGTAGAAAGAACAAAAGAAAAAAATTGGGACCCTTGTACATGATTTTCAGATGTTTATTGCAAAAAGTTTTAATTCAGCTAGCAAAGTAAGTGAGAATTTTAATGCAGAAATGTTCCAAATATTGTACAAATTGCATACTGTTTTCCCATGTGTTACTACATGTATCCATGCCATTTTGTGGGAGGGGAGGGGGTATGGAAAATCAATTAACATACTGCCCGCAAAATGTAAATGTTTTATATTTTCAGGTATGAATGTGTGAACTAGAATGAATCACTAGTCAGAGCTGTTGTCAGTATAAGACTTGTTTGATTGAGGAGAGAATGGCACCTTCCCCCCAAAAAAACATTTAGTAGAAGCTTAAGAAAGCTTACTGTGTTTATTTAAAATGATCACAATATCACAAGGTTTACAATAGACATTTGAATGAGAACACACATAAATCTGATGAAATGTAAAAGAAATCCTAACTAATTTCTGAATTGCTTTCTGTCATATTTCTTTTTCTTCCTTTAAGGGTTTTGTCACTCTAGCTGCCATATTAAACTACATGGCAGTGCCACCATAATAGTCTTACACAAAACTAAATCACAAGTTTCTCTCTTGTAGTAAAAGAATTAGATAAAAGTTTTGAAAACAAGGCAACAAAACATTCCAATCATGAATAAAATGAATTTATGGGAACACATTTAATATAACTTAACAAAAACATTACAGATTATTGATAGCTGTTAATACACACACACTTACCTCAATAGCTCTCTTAATATATGGAATCTGTGTGCCACTGTCCAGATCTTCATTTATAATAAGTCTTCTAGCCCACTGACCTGCCCTGACAACACCACTACCATGAATTAAAACCATCAGTTTATCTGGATTTGTCAATGCATCCTCACTCATAAAGATAAAACTCTTTGGCTCACTCTCAGTAGCATCTACCTGAAATTTAAAAAAATAAATTTAAAAATAAATAAAAACACATTCTGGTGTATCAATAAACATATTAAGAAAACCTAATAGCTGCAATTATAAAGTAGCTTTGGAATTTATACACAAACATCATTACTATTTATTTGTGTTATGTTAGCACCTGAAAGCCACACTGTGTTTGATGCTGTAAAAACAAAGAATAAGACAAAACCTGCCCTAAAGACCTTGCGATCTAATGTGAAAAGCAAAAAAATACATTACAACTAAGAACACTTATACTGCATCAAACAGAAGTAGAAAGTATGATTAAGCTTTAAAGTATAAAAGTACAAAAAGAGTAAAAGGCACAGAATTTAGAAGTTCACATAAATTTACTGACAGAAAATAAAGCCCACCAAAGGACTACCTGGGAGGAAAAAAAAGTAATTTATCACATCTTATTTGCCAGAAGCAGCAATAATAGATCATCTAGAAAATATATAAAAGTGAAAAAGTCCTAGCATTCCATTTCAGTCCCCACAACATAAATAGCCAATTATCCAAATATGAAACAGTAGCATAAATTTAGTCCATTATAAACTTAAAACGAGAGGTATCTACATACAAAACACATAAAAAATACAGGAATCCAATTTTGGACTCAAGAGTGGCTTTGAGCGAGGGCATTGATGTGCTGCCTCAGGAACAGCCTGAGAAGTAGATTGCGATTCAAAGAGCCACAATCTGATATCCAGTGTCCCCCTTTCTCTGGAAGCTGGAGAAACACACTGCACCAGTTATGTACCTGGTGCAGAGTACCCAGCCTGAAGCACCAGCACAACTATGCTGACCTGAACGTTGAGGGGGCAGAGCCACAGGTCCCATCTATTCCTTGTTCCCTTCCGAGCACAAGAGTAAGCAGCAGGAGAGGGGGAATGCAGTGAGCTACTCTCCTGCACCTCCTGCCCAGTTACCCATAGCATGCGTAACTGATGCAGGCTTGTAAGGGGGTACCTTGCATCACCTTGCTTTCCTGTGTGACTGTGCAAGTCAGACCCATATGTTTGGGGCAGGATACAGCAAATCAATGACTTTTGAAGAAACAGGGCCCTCTGCTTCTCTAGGACAAAAATACAAAAGTTTCTGAACAATTAAGATACAAAACTTCTAGCTGTATCAAGTCACTTTGTCTTTTGTGTATGGACATTTATCCTTCTTTCGTTCTTTCAAAACTCATAGGGCATGATATTACAAACTTTTCTTAGCACAAGTAGTCCTTACTCACAAAAGCAGTCTTATTGGAGTTGATAAAATGACCTGTGTAAGTAAGGACCACTCACAGACTCACGCCCAATTACAGCTCCTACTTTGATACCAAAACCTTAATCCTGTTGTGTTTCCTACATTTTGCCTCCAAACAGAATACAATTTTGGGGAAAATGGAGCCTCAGTTCCCCCTCTTTAAAATAGGGAATATACTTCCCTTCTTTGTCTTGTCTAGTTAGACCGGGGGTGGGCAAACTTTTTGGCCTGAGGGCCACATTGGCGAATAGAAATTGTATGGCAGGCCATGAATGCTCACAAAATTGGGGTTAGGGTGCAGGAGGGGGAGCGGGTTCCAGGGTGGGACTGGGATGAGAGGTTTGGGGTGCAGGAGTGTGCTCGAGGGGTTTGGAGAGCGGGAGGGGGATCAGGGCTGAGGCAGGGGCGTAGGCTCCAAGCGGTGCTTACCTCAAACGGTTCCCGGAAGCCGTGGCATGTCCCTTCTCCGGCTCCTATGCAGAGGTGCGGCCGGGCGGCTCTGCACACTGCGCCGCCCCTGCAGCTTGCATTGGAGCGTGCAGGAGCCGGAGCGGAGCCATGCCTCGGCTTCTGGGAGCCACTGTACGGGGACATGTCAGCAAATCAGTAAAGTGCCTGAAACCACTATTGCGTATTGCTAAAAGCAGCCAAGTCAGCAGGCTGTAAATTAGCCATGTCCCAGCCTCAGCTTGACCAAGGTAGGAGGGGAGGGGGATTTGGGTGCCACAGAAAGGGCAGCTTGACCCCATGTCCTTCCTGGTAAGAACTGTGTTGAAGTTGCTGATACATGCATTTTAGAAGAGCAGGATGTGCCCTCAGGAATGTGTCTATTAGGGTCTCAAGGATGCAAACTCTGGGAAAAACCCACACCTACTTAATCAATAATCAGAAGAAAACCTCTTGCTTGACCATTAGGACTGCTTGCTTAGCAAGTTTTCTTTAAGGGACATGTCATTGTGTTACTAATGTATAAAATAAGGGGAGAACTCTTCAAGTCGGGACTGGTCTCTCCTCTGGATGCATTTTGTGTTCCCCCCGGCATACAGACTGCCGCTGTGCCACTCGAGAGCCATACTCAGCTTCGGTAATTATCGAAGGTTGGGGGTGTTTTACTAACCTGTTGCAGACGTGTGTAAGTGCTTGAGACTAAGTAAAGTTTAGCTTTAAGTGAAAGCACTCGTGTTGTCCTGTTTGTGCCAACCATCTATCGGTTGGACGGCAATGTCTCCCCTGATTTGTTTACTGACACCACCTCGCACAGAGTAAAAGTTACCAAGAGCTTTGGGTTGAAAGAACCCCGGGTAAGACCATGTGGTGCAGCCCCGACCCTGCACCGTGGCCAGAGCGCTGGAGCGGGACCAAGCCATGTGGTCCAGCCCCCGACCCAGCGCCCCGGCTGGAGCGCCGGAGCGGGGCCGAGCTGCCTGGTGCGGCTCACGGGCTGGCTTAAAACGGACCACGGGCCGTAGTTTTCCCACCTCTGAGTTAGACAATAGGAGACAATCCCTACCCAAAAGAGCTTGCAATATATATGTTCAATACATAGCACAATGAGGTCCTAGTCTTGGCTGGAGCATTTAGGCACTACCATCACAACAAACGACAGTATTAGTAACAATAAAAATATAAAGAAAGATTGTAGCTATGTTGGGAGTGGGACAAGCAAAACATTAACTCTCAAATGATATCTAGTAAGGTGAACTTGAGTTTTGCAAACAATTTGAACATTTAAGAAAATAGAAATAGCCACAATTAAAATGAAAATGTAAATTGAAAAAAGTGTAATTTAGTGTACACTTTAATACACTGCACTAATCACATGCATTAGAAGGCATAATATTAACTAGTTCACTTATGTAAATGGGTTAACGCTGAACAGAGGGGGAAAAAACCTTATTCCCTTTGTCAACTTAATTACATTTGGAAACTTTTCTTCAAACCAATTTGTCTTCAAACAGCAATAATTCATTAAATGAAGCTTTCACTAAGGAATGCACATAAAGGTCACTTTTGTGCACAACCTCACTTTATTGACAAATCAGCCTACAATACCATTTAGTTCTAGTCAGAGTGAGACTGCATAAAGCAATTTGTATCTATTAACAATTCACAGTTTTAGATGTGCTCATGAACGCTTAACTGTGATCTTAACTCTGCTCTTTCATTTAAATAAATTAAATAAACTCAGCAAAACTAAAAAAGTTTCATTTAACAATTAGAGTCAGTATTGCTATTCACATGAAACACAAACTCAATCATTTTAGTTTTGTAGCTAGGAATTTCAAATCATCCTAAATTCTATCGGCATTTTACAGGCGATGCAATCTTTGACTGTATTCCTCATTTCCAAATTCTGTTTTTTAGTGAATTACATACACTTTGCAGTTTTTCCAGATACCCAGAGTTATCCAATGAGCTAATATACTCTAGATATATTATGAAATATTTCAAGTTTCTAAACATTACTTCAATTTTCCCACAAGTTAAAGCACAATTTTTCATGTGATATCTCAGAATACCTCAGACAATAAATAAAAATAATAATAATAAATATACACAATGTTTTCATCAGCAACAGACCACCACCACTTTGCGCACATTTCATCAATAAATGGGGTTAAAGAGATTGTTTTTGTCAATAAGAAATAATTACATGAAACATTAGGCTCTTATTTCTGTGAATTAAAATTTTAACTCTTCTAAAACACTAAAAGGAAATGATGAGACTATTAAAATTGCTTATTAAAAAACATTACGAAAATCATAGATCTAGAAGCCCACAGAGGAAGAGGAATGGGTGGAATCACTTATGTGTATGGCTAGTGAGTGGAAATAACTGTTATTGGATGTCAAAGAGAGAAACAGGGATACACTGAGCAGCAGTGAGGGAGGTACAGGTTTGCTAACTTCTAAAAACATCTGGAACGTGATCAAGGAGTCTGAACACATAGTTCTATATAAAGCTGCCTAGTCCATTTTATTTTTCAGTCCTCACAATATTGAATCACTAGGTTGTTGTTTTACATTCTAACCAGGAAATGTGAAAGCTGGTTATCAATACCACACAAAGTATGATTAGTATTAGTGATTATTAAATGTCAGTCTATGAATTCATCTAACTTATCATGCCCAAAATTTAAGAAAGTTGTTTGAAAACAAGTGACTGACTGAAGTAATGAAAATAGATAATTCTTCTAAAGGAAAATGTAAATAATGCCAAAAGTTGTTAAGCAAGAATCCTCTGTCTGACAACTTATCAAAGAAAATAAGTTTCTTCATTTTCTATTAGATCAGATATGACACTGAATGAAATTTTGTCCATTTAAGAAAAAGAGCAAAACATTGATGACTTTGAAGATTCTGCACAGTGAGACTTTTTGTGCCATCTTTGCCAATGAAATAAAATTGCAATAATTTAAATTCTTGATTCAGGACTTCCAACAGCTGTAAAACGTAAGCTTAATTTAGTAATAACCTCTGCTAGTTTTCAGCTCAAACAACAGCAAAGATCAATCACTGATTATGCTATAAAAACAACAAATGCAAAGACTATCTTCTTTATGTTAACATTGACGTCAATGGAGCATAAAATGAGCAATTTAAAGAAATGATTGAAGTATTTCACCCTGGAATATACTCCTCCTGATTTAAGCTTGCAGGTCTGCTACTAGATGTTGCAAGTGAAGAAACAAGAAAAAATGGAGAAAAACTAAGACTCAATATTAAAA